CTGACTTCCGGCTGAGAACGCACACGCAGGCTGTGTCTATCCGAATGAATCGCCAGGCTGCCTGCTTGCCCTCCATCGTCAGCGCTTTGACAAAGGTGTGTGTTGTGGTGCAGTAGGAGTTCCAGTGCTTTGCATCGATCCCTCGGCACCCGCTGGACACTGGCTTAGGGTCCCTGCACTTGGTCTCAAAAAAGTACTGCTTAAAAACGTTGTTGTTAATGTTGACCTCTCCCAACACTGTCACCTCTTTGCCTTTAATGTCCGTGGCTGTGGTTTTGTCCCCAACCCACATGCTGACGCTGTCACACACTGAGAATTCTCCCCGGTGTAACACGGGATGTGCAGTCCTCTTGGTCCTGGCAGTCCTGTTGAGAGAACCCGCACTGCCGAGAAATCCTGTGTTCTGTCTGTGCCCCGACACTGGGGGGGGCTGTGTGCTGAACAGCACCCGAGGAGACCGGAAACGCCTCTTCTTAAAAAATTTGGCGTCCATGGTGATATTTATAGCTTCTCTTCTACCTGTCGTCCAAGTAGAGTGGCCGTGGGATGTCTGTGGAGCTGCCTCGGGAGTGTGGTGTCTGTTACTCTGGTGGGTATTGAGCGGGGAGTGTTCTGCGGGATACTCCAGTGGAGCATTGTCCTCTGACTTTGGAGCTGCCTGTGTGCCGATCAAAAAAGCTATAATCAGAGTGTAGTACAGCATGGACATTACGCTATGCACCTAGAACAAAAGAAAAACGTAATGTTACTGTAAGCCATGCTGGCACAAGTGGATGCCGTTGCTGACAATAAATTTATAAGATACCCAGAATCGTTTAGATTTCATCAGGTGTTCACATGGGTGCCAGATGTTGTTCTTCCGGAAGAGCTCATTCAGACAGCATATATGTTCTTAATAAAGTGAGAACATTAGAAAATAATAGCTTGATTATTATTAATTCCTCTGGTATTTGTTATTAGAACATTGTTTATGAAGCACTTGTTTGGCCTTATTAATGTGGAGACCATATGGCGACAGCATGTTCCCAGGAGTAAAATCTCTAGTGATTTTTGCAGCAACCTTTTTGGCCAGGGCTCTTCTCTTGGCTGCAAATACCCTGCAGAGTAGTGAGAGCAGAAGCAGTCCCTTGGCTAAAATAGCTGGCCATTCACTTAATGTGTCTGCAGAGGTGTCCTTGGGGCTACGGTGGGGACTAGTACTGGTGGAAGGGGGGGACCCCAGTGAATCGTGCCATTCTCCCATGCTCACTGTCCACGCTTACCTGCCATGTGGACAGGCCCCACCACCTTGCCTGGCTCAGCAGCCTCCATCTATCCCATGTTCCCTTTCAGGGCACACCACATTGCTGATTTTGGGCAGATAAAGCCCAGGCTGCTTCCCAGAAGAGCTCAAGCATCCCACCGCGCAAGGGCAGATGGGATTTTTCCATGTTCAAGCTGCCTATTAGGACAAATATGGGTATTACGTAGGAGCACCGCGAGTGACAGGCTACTTCTGGACTGGCATCTTAGGTATAGCATAGTGAACGCCATTGTGGACATAGTACTGGGAATTATGTACAGGGCAACACCTTCCTTTTTTCAAAGTTCCATGATCAAAAAGCTCCACAATGTCACTGCATAGCAGATCCAGTGCCAGCGCTAGTCTTCCTTCGATCTGGAGAATATGCACATCTGTTTGGGTGTGGAAAAGTGTAAGACCAAAGTCTAAAACTTCACTAAAGAACAATTTAATGCTAGGAGACCAGCAGCAGTAATCCCTTGTTAAGCAACTACTGTGTGTTGACTTAATTCAGTCACACGTTGGGTTAACAAAGCAGCAGTAGGCATCCTGGGAATAAGAGACATTAAAAATGATCTGAAATTGCAGTTAAGGGCAGACATTGTATTTCCTCTGTGAAGACTTAATAAGCAGAGACAGGGTATAAACAGAAAAAAAACTATCAAGCAAGGCTCCTCCCCTGTCTCTTTGCCTTCTTTTGCCTGACATGTCTCAGCTGGCCCTGGATCGCATTGCGTCCAGCCAGCAGGCAGGCAGCCGGACATAGACTGGACAAACAGGGTTTTGTAAAAGAGGAATCGAGCTCTGCAGTTCCACTGTGATTTCCCAGCATGTCTTCATGTTATTTCTGGGTGTGGGTCAACTACTTGCTGAAGTTCCCCCTCTTTCTTTCTGTTCAGCTTTCTCAGACTAGAATCCTAAGCAGCACTAAAGCACTCAACCAGGGCTTTAGCTTTGCTAGAGCACAATCTTGTAGAAAGTGCAGAATCCTAAGATGTCCCATAGGATCTTGTGTAGATAGTCTTATCTCGGACAAGAGCTGAAATGAAATAAACAACAGCGTTTGTGCAGGGCTGTGCAAGCATTTAAGAAATCAGCAGGAGATGCCAAGTGAAGATAGTGACTGCAGAGGGTAGAGATGCTACAGTTCCTGCATCAAGGGGAGAAAAGAAGAGAAGGGCCAAAAGCCGCATTAGCAGTTGTTTGTGCAACAGTGGGCTGGAAGAATTGGGGACAAAATGATGACGAAGAGAGTCAAGTGAGTCTCTCAGAGAAAATCCTTACTGTTCCAAAGCTACTTTAAATTTGCTTAAAACAAGGCTGAGGCTTGCTTCTTTCCCACATGCTGCTCATGCTTGAGCAGTCATCATCATCTGTATAAGGAAACAGAGCTGGGTGTAGCTCAATAGCTTGGCTCTGCACAATTCAGAGAGTAACCCCTTGTTCTGCAACCAAATTAAAATCAGATGGTTCATAACATCTCTAAAGAGTTAGCTTTCCTGACAGAAATGTTAATGGAAAAGGTTTGCAGAACAAAATCCAGGCACAATTTAGACATGCCAATAGCAGCCTCAACCTATTGTGTTTATACATAAACCCTGTTTTTATTATTTCCTTCTATAGGAAAGAGACACTGCAATGTCAGCAAAGAGCTGTTTCTGGTTTTGTGCTATACAAGATGCGCTGCTCTAAAACCAGCTACATTTATCTCCCTTCTCTGAGTTTCTTACATTGCATTTGCTAAGATTATTACTTTAAGGCCATTAACACAAAATCAGAAACATCTCATCTGCTTGCCTTTTTTATTGTGGTGGGGTTTTTTTGTTGTTTTTTTTTTGTTGTTTTTTTTTAACTTGGCTTGTTTTTCCTCTCCTTGTGGTAATGCATTCTGTGGAGAGTGTGGCCCAAACACAGACAAAATGTATTTGGGATACCTGGTAGTTTTCATGAAGATTCAAATTTGAATCTTTTAATCTATTATTAAATTAGTGGGGAATAGAAACTGACAGATTAAAAAAGTGGACTAGACTTCATGACAACACAAGCAAAAAAGAAGTTAACATGTAAAGAATAGGTATGCCTTAGACTGTGAGGATTGTGGACTTTTTTGCTGACGTGTACAGATATTTTACAGGCTATTTTGGGCTACTTTGTCACATACTTAGTTCCTAGACCCTTTGTGCTTTCTTGAGGTGTTGACAGTGGATGCCAAGGGCAGCCACCTGAACTGCCAGGGAGGTGCACAGCTGCCAATTCTAGTGCTTGTAGTATGTAGGGATCTGTTTGCAACACTGGACACAAAGGTTGTCACAGGCATTTCAATGCCAAAAATACAAAAACTGTACTAAAAGAGAAGACATTAATGAGAACTGTGACTTCTAAGTGGACTATCTCATTATAGGTAAACATTCTGCACAAAACATACGATGTCTGGAGACAGAATACAAGAAGACAGAATAAGTGGAAACTCCCATTGTAGCCAGAAACTCCCATCTAGCCCGCTAGCGAGCTAGCAGGTATCAGTGAAGCAACTTGTTTAATAACTCAAAGAACTAAGCTTTTCCAAAAATACAAATATGAAGTACAAACTGCCCTCATCTTCATTCTTTAGAAGACAGACCAATGATTTTTTAAGTTCAAGATGACAGCTCCCTTCCCCGCTTTTATGTTGGTCAAGTGTCATTTAAG